TATACCTCATAATAGGATTGGTGGATTAAATGGTATTTATATTTCAAACTTTTAAGGAAAACACCATACCATTTCCCACAGTGGTTGAACAATTTTACAGTCCCACCAGCAGTATATGACAGTTCCAATCTCTCCACCTCCTCACCAGCATTTGTTACTTTCTGTCTTGTTGAACTTTGCTATGATTGCTGGAGTGAAAGGATATCTCATTGTTTTGATTTGTATCTCTCTAAAATGGCAAGTGATCATGAGCAATTTTATTTATAAAAGTTGTTGTTGTTGTTGTTGTTATGTGCCGTCGAGTCGGCCCCGACTCATAGCGACCCCTCCTTGGGTTTCCGAGGCAGTATCACTACGGAAGTAGGATTGCCCAACCTTCCTTCCGAGGAGTGGCAAAGTAGAGTCAGAAAATTTAATGTATGGAGCAAACAATCACTAAAAAGGGGCTGATTGGGAGGCTACTGTGGGGAAAAATGTATAAAAAGAAACAACTAAGAAAATAAATTACACAATTGAGAAGGTATTCTCAAGTATAAACAATAGCAAACCAAAAGGGAAAACAAGTAAAGGAAATAGTAATCACCTTATATGCGGACATTCTACCCATCCGATATTGCCATAAGTACATCAATACATATGTACCATATTTTTCTCATAAAACATGTTCACAGAAACAATGCACACACATGTAATACACAGTGCACACAGGAAATTAGTGCACAAGGGGGCTGCAAAGTTTACAAAAACTGTGCAACACATACATTATTTGCACAATACAGGAACTCAGATATACTACACATATGAAAAAACTGAGGCAGAGGGACAGATCTAAATGGGATGATGTAAAACCTTCTATAAAGGGAGCTCTGGTGGCATAATGTCTAAGGCATTTGTTCAAACCCACCAGCCACTCCTCGGAAGGAAGGTTGGGCAATCTACTTCTGTAGTAATACCATCTTGGAAACCCAAGGAGGGGTCCCTATGAGTTGGGTCCGACTCTATGGCAGTGGCAGTTTTTGATTTATAAAGCTACAGTAAGTTGGAAAACCAGGTACTGAATAGTCTGTACATAAAAGTAGAATAGTCTGTTCTCATCTGTATAAAACATGCAAAAGGGATATAAACATAAAAGCTTGACTATTCAGAATATGTCTGGAATAATACACAAGAGGTAATATTAGTAAGCCCCTAGAGAAAGTATATGAGGTCCTGAATTTTTACTATGTTTTCACTTTTAAAATTATGTTTGTTTTCACTTTTAAAATCTAGTTAAGAGTGGTGAGTAACAACAGCAGTCTTAAAAGCTAGCAAGTGGCCATCTAAGATGCAAATATTGGTCTCTCCCTCTCTGGAATAAAGAAAAATGAAGAAAATAAAAAATTCAAGGTAACAATTAGTCCAAAGGGCTAATGGACCATGCAAACCACAGCTGCCACTACCTGGAGACCAGAAAAACTTGATGGTACCCAGCTACCACTACCAACTGCTCTGACTGGGACCACAGAAGGTCCCAGACAGAATGGGATAAAAATGTAGAAAAAATTGAAAATCATAAAAAGACCAAGTTTACTAGTCTGACAGAGACTGGTGGAACCCCTGAGACTGTGGCCCTTAGCCTTCAAACCTGGAACTTAACCTACCCCTGGGGAACATCTTTCAGCTAAACAACAGGCCTACAAACTGAACTATATAATCCTCATGAGGAACATACTCCTCAGGATAATTAACCATATGAGACCAAAAAGGCAGCGTTTGCCTCAAAACAAAGCTTACAAGGCAGGAGGCGGTAGGGAAGAAGGACAAAGAGCTAAGGAGAACTCAAGCAGGAGGCAGGAAGAGAACTATTACATTTAGGTAACTGCAATTCACTTTACAAATGAGTTGCTGACTTGAATAAATTGTGGAATGGGAAACTAATTTGCTCTGTAAACTTTCATCCAAACCACAAATTAATAAATAAACTAGTTAAGGGCTCTTGGAATATTTGGCTGTTGGCATACTCTATACTTAGACCCCAGTTGCCATGCTATGAGAAGTCCTAGCCACATTTCACATGGCCTGCCCACTCAGGTCTTCAAATGACTGGTGTCAATCTGACTGGCATCCCTGGTACAAACAGCACAATGGCTGCTAACAAAAATGCTGGAGGTTCAAATCTACCCAGGGGCACCTCAGAAAAAAGGCCTGGGCATTTACTTCAAGAAAAAATAAACAGTTGTAAAATAATGAAAATATAATCCAGAGACTATATGCCTCTACAGGAAAGGATATTTTAAGTACCCATTTAATTATGTAAACAATGACTATAAACAAGTAAGAAGAGTATAAAGAAGAAGTAAGACAGCTATAACAGGATGTTGATAGATAATGTGTAAAATAAATTAGAAATGAGCATATTGCTTACAAAAATGTAAAAAACAGAAGAAATAGCTCAAAAATCTCTGTGGAATGAGGCTAAGTGGTAGGTGCAGGGTGGCTGTCTGCATTATAAGCCTTTTGAAGCTATCTGTGTTTTAAACTAATGTACATGTACTAATGATACAATGATTTATACTTCTACTTATAATTGTATTATCAAATAACCATAAGAATAATTAAATGGAATAAAGTAATACCCACCAGCCACTCCTCAGAAGGAAGATGGGGCAATCTGCTTCCGTAATGATTGTTGTTGTTATTTGCCGTCGAGTCGGCCCCGACTCATAGCGACCCCTCCTTGGGTTTCCAAGGCAGTATCACTACGGAAGTAGGATTGCCCAACCTTCCTTACTGCCTTGGAAACCCAAGGAGGGGTCGCTATGAGTCGGGTCCGACTCGATGGCACATGACAACAACAACAACTCGATAATAAAAGCCAACACAGACATTTTTCTTGCTAAGCTCTGACTTATTGTTGTCAGTTCTGACATAAGTCAAATACTTGATTTTTTTTTAAGTTTTCATTATTATTGTCTTTTTATGGGTATCTTTAAAAATCCAATCTTTATTTGTCTTTTGGGGGTTGGCACAAGAATGATAATATCAGCAAACTGCATGATGCAAGACTGTATATGATACACATTACTAACAATATGATAATACCAAAAATACCCAAAAAACAGAATATCGTAAATAATACCAAAAAACAGAATATTGTAAGTGGTTCATTGTAAGTCAAATACATCATAAATTGGGGGACATTCTGTATTTATTTTTCTAAACTAAAAATGCCAGAAATGAAGTCTTATTAGTCTAAATAGAATCTGAGAATATATTATATTCTTCTCTCCTGTGATTGTCAAGAATGCATCCTAGAGACTACTTCACATTTTATAGAATAAATTCAACTTGCAGTTTCTACCAAGAAAAAAATGTCACAAATATACTTTGATAAACATAGAACCAGAGTCAAGTGTTTTATTCTCCAAGTTACTGAACAACATTTTAGTACAATCTTCTTTGCTGGTACCAATCAACATTATCTCTCTATAATCATAATCCTTCTAGACTGATTAGAATTTAAAATAGACTGACTACCTAAAATAAGTAACTTCTTTTGCCCTTGAAAGAACAAAAATTGTTTCAGTAAATATTTATAGCACATATATAGCATATATAAATATTTATATATTTATAAAATTGTACTTCCTTTAAATATGGAAGTAATATACGCAGAAAACTGGACTGAACAAAAAACATGATCCTAAAAAAAGAAAGCCCTTTTGGAAAAGGTAGGTCATTCCTCAAAAATTATTATCTGAAAACTACCACTGTCATTTCAGATTCTGTTTCATTTTCTGGCTGCCTAGAGTAAGAAACAAAATAGAGCTCAGAGTCTGAAGGAGCCTTTATTACGTAGAAACATAAAGATGCAGAACATCATAATTACTGAACAAAACACTAGGCTTAGTCTGTGTATTCTCAGTTTAATGAGAAATGGAATATGGAATCACCTATATTGTATTCTGCTTTCAAAACTGTCCTAAGACTCTTCATTGAGAAACTCCTAAGGATATAATGAAGACCATTAAGAGCTAAAGTGAAAACTCAAATGAAATTTCATTTCTACCATTAAAAGTAAAAATTAATGATAATAGCATATATTTAAATAGTTCAAACCACTGTTCTAAGTGCTTTACATATATTAACTCCTATACAATTCTGTGTTGTTGTTGTTGTTTGCCATTGATGGAAGTACTATTATACTCATTTTACAAAGAAACTGAGGCAAAGGAATTTAAATTAAAGTTTCTAACGTTTACTCAGCTAATAAGTTGTGGGGCCAAGATTCACAGCAGCAACCTGGCTTTTAAAAGGCACATTTAAAAATCAATTCTTAGATTTTTTTCTTTTATGGTTGGTAAACTTTTATTTATCGATTCCATAACAGATTGGAAAAGAAATCTGTTCATTCTAATTTTATCCTAAGCATCTAAAATCATAAAAAAATGGAGATCAGTACACAATAAACACAGCTGTGTGTTTAATAAATGATGTCAAGGAAAAATAACTACCACAATTAATTATATACAAAACCTCTATTTCCTAAAGTCTCTTTCCATATGTTGTTGTTGTTATTTGCCGTCGAGTCGGCCCCGACTCATAGCGACCCCTCCTTGGGTTTCCGAGGCAGTATCACTACAGAAGTAGAATTGCCCAACCTTCCTTCCAAGGATATCCATATATAAATACTTGTGTGTGTGTATATGTGTGTGTGTGTGTGTGAAAATTTCTTGGTAAATTGTATTTGGTAAATAATATATTTGAAAGTTTCTTTACACAATTTGCAATGAAACCTTCAAATACATGAACTGATTATCAATCAAGTACTTTTTAAAGAATAATTAGGGACTAATTGCTCTTTGAAACCATGATGAAAGAAATAGCTTTCTAAATAGGAAAAAAAATAAAATGAGAAGCTTGAATAACATGTAACAAATAAAAGATCTTATAAAATTAAATAAATAAGCATGGAAAATGCCTTAGCTACATATCAATACAGAATGTTTTCCTTAGCTTACCTGCTAGATAGAGGGCAAATGATATAAACCTGTGGTAGCGAATGAGGAACTGAAGTTGCTCTTCTCTTTGAACAAATGTAGCAAAATAATCAGCTACCGTCTCTCCATAGAAAAAGTAGTTTACACACAGTAGAAAGTACCTGCAATTTAAAAACAATTAGGTTTTTTTTTTTTTAGTTGAAGGTTTTCTCCCCCTTTCAACAGAATTATAGCCTATGTTTTGATGATGACACAAAGACAAAAACCAAGTTCAAAAGAAGGATATAATCCACTAAAATACTCTTATCTGCTTTTAAATCTAATTTTTTAAACTTATCAGTCTATAAAAATTTCACCAAATACAGTTCGTGCCTCTAAACAGCTCAAAATCTAATGGCAGAGCCAGAAGATCAGGAGACAATATAGAAAATAATATTCTCCCACCGTGTATGTACGGGCATGTGTGTGCACACGCATAAGCACTACATGCACACTCACACATACACAAGCTATTAAGTTCATAATACATTTACTCCCAACTACTTATAACTCAATAATTTTTAATACTAGAGATTCTAAGACAAATTCCTATCTATCCTGCTGTTGTTATTAAGTGGCATAAAGTTGATTCTGGATCATAGTGACCCTATAGCACAAAGTAGAACTGCCCCATAGGGTTTTCTAGGCTTTAATCTTTATGGAAGCAGCCTGCCAGATCTTTCCCCTATGGAGTGGATGATGGGTTTCAAACTGCCAACCTTTCGGTTAGCAGCCAAGTACCTAACCACTGTGCTACCAAGGTACCTTCCACCTGCCCTAAGGAAGATTAACAGGGAAAGAAAGTAGAGATAATTCAACCTCATCTGCCACTGCCCTGCACAAATTGGCATCTTCTTCCCTCGATCAATGCTCCAAATGGACTCCAGTTGAGCAGTGATTCTAAGGGACAACAGTTAGGGATGAGAGGATGCAGCCAGTATAAATCTCTGTTGTTGTTGTTATGTTCTGTCGAGTCGCCTCCAACTCATAGCGATCCCTCCTTGGGTTTCTGAGGTGGTATCACTACGGAAATAGATCACTCAATCTTCATTCTGAGGAGGGGCTAGTGGGTGTGAACCACCAACCTTCTGGTTAGCAGTTAAGTGCCTTAGGCACTATGCCACCAGAACTCCCTAGGAGAAGTTTATAAAAACTACATAGGACACCTCCTCTCTCCATACTACGCCATTTTCTAATATGTCCTCTTCCCAAGTAAGGGGGTAACCTATTGAGATTTTATTGATGGGAGCTTGTGTGGGCCAGAAAATGGCTGAGAAACACTGCTAATCAAGTTCCTACTTGGCTTGTCATTTGAAGGGGAGAGTCCTAACTAGCCAGGAGGACAGTGGAAGAGGCAGGGATAGTTTCCCACTAGTACTCATTTATGGAATTAGACTCAAGCATTCCCAAAGTAAGAGTCCATGAGTGGCACAAATAGTTAACCACTTGGCTACTAACCAAAAGGTTGGTGGTTCAAATCCACCCAGAGGCATCTTGAAAGAAAAAGGCCTTGTGATCTACTTCTGAAAAATCAGCCGTTGAAAATTGTATGGAGCACAGTTTCACTCTGACACACAGAGTCACCATGTGGTGGATTCACTTGACAGCGACTGGTATTTCCAGAGTAAAGAGAAAATATTCTTATTGCTATCAAATGCATTGCCACTTTTCTTTTGTCCTGCAATGTAAACCATCTTTGACTTCTCTGTAAGGATACCTTACCAGTCAAACCCTTAGCTCATTATTCCTCAATAAATGCCTTCCACTTAGGATGGCCAGGGATATCTCACCATCTGTAGTACATGCACGTGTGCCCCATCTTTAGAACCTGGTAGGTGCTGCTTCCACAACCCAGAACACTCTGTATCCAAACCTTGCCTCCTGTGTCAGCTTGTATCACACCTCCTCACAAACTCTTCTAGAACCAAAGGAGCCCATCCTTTTCTTTTTCTATACTTAGAAACAATCCTGCATGGTCTAGTATTTAATTACTCTCTAATTACTTTATCTACCTAACATGCCACCCATGAAGAAACTTGCTAGAAGGAAAAATCGGCTCACTCTTTATATCTGTCACTTGTACATTTATTACATTTATTGTAACAAATGTTATTTTTTGTTGTTGTTTTAGAAAGACATTGTTTTGGTTACCCAGTGCTGCTCTGACAGGAATATATACCACAAATGGGATGGCTTGAAGAAACAGGAGTTTCTTAAACTCTTAAAGTTTGGAGACTAGAAGTTGGAGTTCCAAGTGCCAGGCTTTAGGGGCTGTGTGAAAGCCCCTCGACCTTGGGTTTCAGCTCTGCCTCTTGCTCCCGGCCCACTGAAGCTAGAGGCATCTCTTCACTCAGGCAGCTACTGGCTGCTGAGGCTAACAAGCTCAAGGTCGACAAATAAAATGGCACAGTCCCCATGTTACCAAACCACATGGCAGGCCACTGCTTCAAGTGCACTGAAAGCCCCAAGATCAGCAGGGCATGGCAGGCTATTGAACTTAGCAACATGCAAGGTTCAAGTGTGCCATAAGCTAGAGACCATTTCCAACGCTGCTGCTTATATACAGGAACCAGACCACACCTCTATATAAAGCAGCTACTCAGCTGTTTGTGGTAGATCACACCATGCGGTTGACTGCCAATCTCATCATGAGGAATAACTACCACCAGCTGCCCAGCCACTCAACCAGGCCCAGCCAAGCTGACACACAACCTTAACTACCACAGATGTCTTCATGAAAAAATAGGATTTAATGATGTAATTAATAAAAAAAATTAAGAACAATTTTTTCACTATTCTAAATCCCAAAAGTGATACATCTGTTTTAATAACACACTGGCTCTTGTGGCTAATACTAATCAAAAAACTAGATTAAAAGGTAGAGTCAATTAGGTTAGATGTGAATTAGCCTATTATATTTCCTTGTCAAGGTCTTGATAGGTAAGAATTATACTTCAAAAATTTTACAAAGGTATAATCAATCATCTGGTTATTTTAACTAACTTTACATGCATTAGTATTTATTCAATATTTATATAATATTTTGGGCAGTCTCATGTCAACTAAGGAGAAATAATGCAAAAAAAAATTAGACATATTTGTATAATTTTATGGAATTGAATTTTATGTTATAATTATCATTATAATTATAAAGCATACAAAATAAGTGTAATATAATATTGAGTTTTTTAAAAAGGACCAGAATGAGATTATATATACATATATATATATATATATATATATATACATATACATATATACATATATATATATATATA